GAGGCTGACTCTGTAAACTTCTTAGAGAGGGCTGTAAAGCACTGTGAAGCGGTATGTAAGTCTAAGTGCTATTGCTATGACCATTGTTGGGTCCCAAGATCATGTGATGCCCTTTTGTGACCTTCTCAAAGCAAAGCCAATGAGGAAGCCAGATTCATTTAACAACTGGGTTACTAATTTATCAACTGCAGTGATTCACTTAACAATTATGGCAAGAAAGGTCCTAAAATGGGGCAAAATTCACTTTAAAAATGTCTCACTTAACAACAGAGATTTGTGATTGTAAATTGAGGACTACCCATATTCCTGACCAGGATGGTGGGAATGAAATTTGTAAGAAGAATAAGAATTTGGCACAAGGCAAGACTTGGGTCTCTTTACCATTGTCTCATATGTTTTCATTGTTTGTTTTTGTTGCTATCACAAAGTATAATCGAAGCTAATAATACTTGGTGTTATAGTTAAGTGAACAATAAGTCCCCGAGTTGTTGCCGGTGTAATTAAAAGTTTTGCGGACCAAAACTTTTAATTACACCGAATGGGAAGCTAGCACATTCTTAGCTGTGTTGGAATTAAAATAGAAGATGAAGGTCCATAGATTTTGCAGTGGATGAAATGCATGCCTTGCCTTCTTGCCCTTCCTCTCACCCACTGACTGTCCCAACCATTCTCAGAACCAAAGCTAAAAGATTCAAATCCTTTGAAGTGGCCTGAAAGAAATGTTCTGCAGAACTTGGAAAATTCTGAGAAGATTAAGCAAAGAACAAGGTAACATTAAGCATTTATGCCTATGGGTTAGTGTGTAGCTGTCGTGTGAATGTAGCTTTCCGCCCATTGGTTTGTTTTTCCTTTTAGAGTTTCTGAACAGTGGCTGGGCCATAAAAATGGCCAGAAGGATTCAGTATTACTTGATGCCAGGGAGTTGCTTAAGTACTTCACTGCAGAAGGCTTGCCTGTTGGAGATCTGCAGCCCTTACACATTCCAAAAAGGTAGAGTAAAATCCTTGCCTTGAACATGTGACCATGCATGCAGTTGGCTCAGTAGAGAATCTTAAGTAGCTACAAGTTCTAGTTCTGCTGGAACCTAATTTTTGCTGGGAGCATTCAGACGTCAATACTGATGTTGTAAGCTCACAATTTTCAAACAGTGTGGTCTTTTGAAGCACCTCAAACGATTGAATAGGTATTGGTTGTAATGTCTGCATTTGAAGTCCAAGAGTCACCTGCAAACTCCAAATGTCTGTGTTGCTCAGAAAGAATATAGAAGCAGATGAGATTTTCAAAATGAACTCTTAAAATGAACTTTGTTTTACCCTGCATTATAATAGAAACATCTGAACCCACATTAATATATAGGTGTAAGCTTGATCAGATCATAATGAAGACTGATAAGAAGGAATTCCCTCAGAAAATTGGAAATGGGGTGGGGCTTTCCTTCCTTCCTTCCCTCTCCCTCCCTCTTTCCTTCCTCTTCCCCCCCTTCCTCCCTCTCTCCTTCCTTCCCTCCCTGTCATGTCCTTCCCTTCCTCCCTCCCTCATGCAGGTTCCTTGTCATGTTATTTCTCACAACTAAGTGTTTCCTCTTTCACTGACAACATAATTCTTCCTTCCTTCCCCTCTCTCCCTCTTTCCTTCCTCTTCCTTCCCTTTCTCCCTGTCATTTCCTTCTCTTCCTCTCTCCCTCCTTCCCTCTCTCCCTTTCATTTCCTTCCTCCATCCCTCCCTCCCTCCCTCATGCAGGTTCCTTGTCATGTTATTGCTCACAACTAATAGTGTTTCCTCTTTCATTGACAACAGAATTTCAGACCATCTGCTCACAGGATTAAAGCTAATCATATTTTGCAAATACACATTATGGAAAAGTACAATTACTTTTAGGAACTAATCTCAAAAATTGAGGGGGGAGGATATCATTCGTACTGACTGATTGAAGCCAGATCTTTTTTTGTGAATGGATAATGAATGCCATTTTTGGAATGTCAGCCAAGTTATCTTGTTTTGATTAATCAGTGACAGCATGTGTATAAACTGTACTTTTAGAAAGCAACAACATATCCTACCAAGACAAACAGAACTCTGCTACTTGATTCTACAGATAGAATGTATATTTGATTATTGAGCATTTTGTGTTACTATTGTTTCTAATAACGGAGAGCTATATAGAATGATTTATGTACGAAACCTAGAATTTCTCTATGACTTAGAAATTTCACAAGGAACAGGGTTTGGAAGTACAATAACATAACACCATAATAAAGTACAACACCAAAGTAGGAGGAAGGAGGACTATTAGGTATGTTTGCTGCCTTGAGTTATTCAAACAGTAATAAAGATACAAAGCCATTAAGAGATAAAAGTCTAATAAATACATCTACAGTATGTCGCTTATCTTATTTCACAGTGAGCATGGTGTGACTGTGGAGCCCGTGTCACTATTCCTGAAGTCATCACTGGCAGGGAGATTAGTACCAAATTAGTTCAGAACGTGGCAGCAGTTAATCCACTTTGACCAATTTTGGAAATTAAACAATGTTAGAAATGATAAAGAATATATGTAGCTTGGATGGGAGATGTTGGTGGTAGGTCTGTTCTCCGGGCTTGCAGTTTAGCTTCTGAACGTTTCACCAGGCTAGGTGACATCCTCAGTGGGACTTTGGGTGAAGCATCTTGAACCAAAATCATTGGCCATGCCACCACACTCCAAGCACGCAAATTCCTCCAAGCCTGATATTCTACTAATGGATTGATAATCAAACATACCTTAGATTGGAGTGATGCATTTTTATTATTATAATTTACAATGGCAAAGAGAGAGAGAGTCTGATTGTTCCTATTCTTTCTTGTTAAGATGTTTTTTTTTTTTTTTTTTGCCTATAAGAGAGCAATAACTTTGGTTTCAGGTGAATTCTCTTATGTTTTTTTCAGTGACAGTGCTTTTCTGACACCTGAACTGACACCTCGAAAACTGAGAGCTTTACCGTTTGAAAAAGCTGCTGGCTGCCACTACCACGGTCTTGAGTAAGTTTCCTTACTGGGAATTATTTTCTGAGCCCTTTCATTCGGTACAAACCCAAGAAAATATTGAAACTTTAAGATAACGATAGGTTTATCTACCAGTTCATTTCATTCTGTTGGCGATCATAGCAATAGCACTTAGACTTATATACCGCTTCATAGTGCTTTCCAGCCCTCTCTAAGCGGTTTACAGAGTCATCATATTGCCCCCAACGATTTGAGTCCTCATTTTACCCATCTCGGAAGAACAGAAGGCTGAGTCAACCTTGAGCCTGGCGAGATTCGATCTGCCAAATTGCAGGCAGCTGGCTTTAGCAGAAGTAGCTTGCAGTACTGCACTCTAACCACTGTGCCACCGAGGTTCTGCCGATCGCCAACATGATTGCCAATGTCCGATGACGGATATGGCACAAGAAGAAGAAGACGACCAGTTCTTTTTCACCTTTGGATATTTAATGCTTGAAACCAAGGATAATGTTTAAATGCACGCTTTTATAAGTGCAAACGCCAAATATTTTCTGACAATGTTTTCAGCTGAAAGTAGAGCAGTTGAGAGGTGTGTGTATTTGTGGTGGTGGAGACATTTGGGGTTTTTGTTGCTGGTTTTGTCACCAAATAGGGAAATGAGCATTTTGTTATGCTTTGTGGGAGCAAGTATGTAAGCTAGTTTTGAGCCACAAATCCCACTTATTCAATTATATAGCACAGCATTTTAGGCTTATAATACTGCCTCATAGTGCGGTTTACAGTCTGTGTGGTTTACAGTCTGACTCCTCATTTTACTGACCTCAGAAGGATGGAAAGCTGAGTCAACCATGAGCTCCGTCAGGATCGAACTATAGATTGTGGGCAGAGTTTGCCTGCAATAATACTACATTCTAACCTGTGTGCCACCAGGGCTCCTTGAAATATGACGACAGAACTGAACTATATATTTAGTTTGTTGTCAGGTTTCTAGCCACAACCCTTTCTGAGAAATGGATATTGAAAGAGAACATGAAGAATTCAAAAGCATGGTTTTATTTTGGGATCAGGGATGGCTAGCAGAAAATTACTATTTCAAAGTAAAAATGATTTTGTTACAGTTGTCTGTAAAATGTGAACTGAGATTTGGCATCTTGTGAAATGGACAGGTGATCTGTGAGATTATATATTCTGTTTCCCAACAAACAATTAGCTCCCTTTAAAAAAAGTTCCCAGTAATTATTATTTTTTATTTATTTTTTTATTAAATCAATATGCTGCCCATTTCGGTACCCAAAGCAATTCTGGGTGGCTTACAATGCAGTAAAAATATAGGTATAAAAAAAAACTATAAAAACCGTTTAAAATTCCAAAAATTAAAACCAGGCTAAAAAAAACCAAGGACTTGTGCAGATAAAGACCACACCTAGAGTACTGCATCCAGTTTTGGTCACCACACTATAAAAAGATGTTGAAACTCTAGAAAAAGTACAGAGAAGAGCAACCAGGATGATTAGGGGACTGGGGACTAAAACATGAAGAACGATTACAGGAACTGGGCTTGGCTAGTCTAGTGAAGAAAAGGACCAGGGGAGACATGATAGCAATCTTCCAATATTTGAGGGGCTGCCACAGAGATGAAGGGGGGGCTCAAGCTATTTTCTAAAGCACCTGAAGGCCAGACAAGGAACAATGGATGGAAACTGGAGAGATTGAACCTGGAAATGAGAAACTTTCTGACAATGAGAACAATCAAACAATAGAACAGAAGTTGCCTTCAGAAGTTGTGGGAGTGCCATCACTTGAGACTTTCAAGAAGAGACTGACTGCCATCTGTCAGAAATGGTGTAGGGTTTCCTGCTTGGGCAGGGGGGTTGGACTAGATGACCTACAAGGTCCCTTCCAACTCTGATTATCTGTTATCAGATTGAGGGTGGTGTCTTTATCACTGCACCTGTAGCCTAAGGCCAAACTGGCAGAACCAGTTTTGAAAGCCCTTCTGGAAGGGCAGAAGAGCGGAGGTGGTAGATTTCACCCCCCTAGTGGCAGGATGTTCCACAGGGATCTGGGTAAGAGAAGCAAGGAAGATATTCCCTTATGGCAAAAAGGGCATATAGTTTTCCTTTCTGTCAGAAGAAGCCTAGACTTTCTGCAATGCTGGTTGTTCCAAACCTGTTTTTAAATGTCGACTGTTAGGTATTGCCTGGACCACAGAAGAGCTTTGGAAAGAGACGGGGAGTTTGCTGAACTTCAGTCTCGGCTTATCCGTTTTGAAACTCAGACCACCTGCACCAAGGAGTCCTGCCCTATGCCCTGGGTCTTGAGTCCCCTGCCGTCCCCGGCGGTTTTGTCCGAGCCTGGAAGTGTCCCTGACGGAGAATCTTCACAGAGAGACCTCCAGATGGAGAGGTCTAAGCTGAAACGGCGATCGAAAGATATAGAGAGCTTTGGTTCCAACAAAAGGTAATGTACTGTATAAAAAAAATCAATAGAAACGGAGGCCTTTCTTTCCTTTCTTAATCACAGCTTTGAGTGGCTGTTATGTTTGTCTTCTTTTCTATCATTTTCCCCCCGCCTGTGTAACATTATATTGTAATGTAACATTTATACTGAAGCAAGTGGCACTTTCTTAATCCCAATGTCAAGGTTCCGACTGACAAACCCAGCCCAAGCCAGCAAATCGAGACGATCAGATCCCTTTAAGGACAGCTTTATTGAGGACATCATCTCGGCCCGCGTGAAAGCAAAACCAACTAATTATTTCCTGCAGTTTTTCTATAATTAATAGATATTCCCCTCCATCCTAGTCACAGGTCACATTGTCCAATTAGTTGTTCTGGTGTCTCCCGGAAGCAACGAATTATTATTATTATTATTATTATTATTATTATTATTATTATTATTAT